AATGTTTCCTAAATATTATTGCTTCTATCCTTAGGCTGTCTTTTCAAGGTTAGGCTCTTGCAACTCCTTCAAAAATTCATTTAAATAGAAAATATAATTAAAATGGAAAATTTAATATTTGCTTCTCTGTAAGAACTACGAATTTACTAGTTGTAATATATACAAATAATTTTTTGGTGTGACCAACAAATATTAAATGTTAATAAAGCTTAAAAAATAAGTTGCTGAATCTCTTGTTTTCATCCTCACGCACATTATAATTGAGGCAATAAAGGGTAATAATTTGGTTTTCATTTTGTTTCATTCGTTCTTATTAGCACTGAATTACTTTTACTAGTTTTTTTTATTCAAAACGTTAGCTCTGCTTAAACTGTGAATTGCAACAAGTGTACTGTGTTGAGACATTTTAGAAATGTTTCCGCTACTAACTGTCTTTTGATTACTTAGTCCACTCTATATTGGTCTATTCAAACTAGATCAACTAATTAGTAAAAGAGACTGATTTCTTCACTAAATTTTTCACATGAAATTCATGTGCTATGGTTTATGATATTATTATTATTTTAACTATTATATCCTTTAATTCTTAGAGGGACATACGGCTTCAGCCGAACGTCTCCATTACGTTCGGTTCTCCGCCAACGTCACCACCTGGGTCCATACCTGCTCACATGCTTCCATCTCCTCTAATTACCACCTCCTTCATGTCACCCTACCACTGACGACCAACTCGCCGCTTCCTTTTCACCTTCCACTCGAGCGATAGCTTGTCTAGTGATGTCACTTGATGGTCTGTTTTCTCAGAGTATGGCCAATCCATCTTCATTTCTTCCTGACTATTTGTTTCACAATCGGTTCCTCATGGGTTGGTTCGCTCATTGCCAGAGATCCCTGTTGCTGATCTTTTCTGGTCGGCCATCTGATCTTGAGTGGTATTCAGCGAAGACAACTGTTAATGAAGGTTTGAAGTTTGTTCAAAGTGCCTTTCGTGATGCGGCGCCAATTCTCTGATCCGTATAGTAGCACTGACTGACTTCACATTGGAGTTGAAAATCCGGATCTTATTTTTGATGTTGAGTGCTGTTGATCTCTACACAAACTTAAGAGTAATGGAAGCTTGTCTTGCTTTTCCAATTCTGGCTTTGATATCCTCGTCAGTTCCGTCAACCTGTAGTTGAAACGATGCTTCCCAGGTAGATAGGTAGGTAAAGGAGGTTGTTTCTTTCAGGTTCCTTCCATTTATACTGGTTGATTGTTGTCTGTTGTTGTTGTTGCTGTTGGTGTTGGTGTTGGCCAGGGATCTTCATTACCTCTGTTTCATCTATGTTCACTATGGTTTATGATATGGCAGTTTAAAATTATTGAAGTCGTCGGTCAGATCTGCTCACTTAAAATAATTATTCGTTATATGAACAGTCTAGAAGCACGAAGAGCATATTATGTGTCACCATAGCAGAAAATGGTTTTCTGAAGTAGTTAAACCATTCTGAAACGTATTTTATTCTGTTCTGTCTACTGATCGAAATAACGAGCAAGAGTTACATATGGTTTACATTTTGAGAAGTGTCCTTCTTTTGAAATATTACAGAGGTATGCTTGTACTTTGACTCTATATATTCGAAAAAGGTAACAGTTATCCATTGAAGGCGTGTTTTTCAGAAATTCAGCATAGACTGAAGATTTCTAATGAGATCCGTAGTGTAAACCATATTAATTCTTTTGAAATAACTATTAGATGGTAGTACATAATTCTGACAATTACTCAGTATAAGGTGATCTAAAATGCAGATTGTCGTAACTACTGTAAGTAGAACTGTGTCTGTGGCACAGCGGTTAGGACTGTCGTCGACCAGGCTATCGTTTCAGATGAAAGTGAAATTACAGTAACCTTGTTTATTAGTTCACCAGTTTTCTAGCTGATCGTAAGCTCAAAAGATAGGGAAAGTTGAGGGTGGAGCTAGTAATACTAAACAGAAAAATTAATCCAATAGCTGCAGAAACTTCAACTCAGAGAAAAAAGGAAACAGAGTAATTCTTCTCTGTAGTTGGAAAGATGAAATAGCGTGTATTGGTGAAGGCTTTCTAGAAGCCAGTTAGCTGATGTGTCTTCTTTCAGTTAAAGCAAAGATAATCACGTGAGAATGGATTTTCCGCACAGTGTTCGAAGCCTGGAAGAATGCTCAAATTGCCAAAAAGATTAGAAGATACGGTATTTGTGAGAGGAGATGAAACGGAAGTGAACCCCATAAATTGTTAACCATAAAGACAGTAATCTATTTCCATTACCTAAACGACGACCACGAAAACACTGAGGGAGTTTTTATCATGATGCCACCAACAGCATCCAAAGCTCTTATGTACAGAGTACCTCTCTCCTCCAGCATAATGATAACATGATTCAATTCAAAAGGTGGAAAAGTTACAATTACCTAATAATACGCTTCTTCAAACAGTGCATATCAACAGAAGAAGAGTGAATTATGCAAATAGCATCAATGAACAAGATCCCATTCCTCTATGTCCCATAGACTCGGCGTGCCCACCACGAAAATTATATCAAATAGGCTGAAGATAATCATCAAAGCCCACCCTCTTCAATCGCTACTGAAGATCAGATAGTCGTCCAGAGAGAACAAGAAACAGGGAACTGGTAACGATCCAACGAAGAATATATCCCCCAAAAAGGATTCAGAAGGAAATATATAAGCTGATGAGACAGCTGAGTGAAATCGTGTGACAAGCCCGTGAATAGAACCTGGACGGAATGCAACAAGTTACGCGTCCGATGTTACACGATGGAAATCATGTGAGGTGCAAACGAAAGTGTATGGGTGATCGTGTAACCAGCTAGAAATAGATTGCAGGAAACAGAACGAAATAGAGAAGTGCCGTTTAGGCCCCTTTTTTCTACTTTGAACCCTAGAAAGTAATAATGACAATAATAATAAGAAGAATCATAATAAGGGATGTCATTAATATGTGCATTTAAAATATCGGGATTTCTAAGTGGTAAGGGATATATGATATTTTTGTCTTCATTCTTTTGAATATGACTGAAAAACCCTACCAGTGATACCTGTTACAATGCACAAACTTTTCGCTGCCATTAACATCTATAAGCATCATATTTTAACAACAGTTTAGATGCATTTCTTTTGCAAATACCTTGATCGCCTTTAATGAAATCCAAGTTTGTTTGCCGGTTCACAATTTTAAATAAACGAACTAAATATTACTTCCGGAAGATTCCTTATGTGTTTACAATGAATTGTAAGCCCCAAAATATAAAGTACTACAAACTGTTAGTTGAATCAAGTTTATTTACGATTCGAAACAATGGCAGTAAATAACACAGTTTCTGTTTTATAACAGTTTTTGTTTTCCATACAGACTCTTTGAAAGGTGAATCAACATACTATTGATATTTTGTTTTCAATTTGTGTACGAATTAACGTCTTTATTATTTTAAATTAATAAGGTGATTAGCTGATTCTGTATTTAACTCTGCTTAATATGATATGATATACAGGTAATACAGGTTCACGAGTTTAGGATAGGTGAATTCCCACATGCAGTTAATTCTTCCACAATTTCACGCACCTATATATTTAAGGAAGAGTATAACTAAACCTGCATATTTGTTACACATAAGTTAATTGAAGTTCACCTTTTTCCTTTGTAAACACACTTTTCCAACTGACTTGAACATTTCCATATACTACTAATGTCTGTCAGTATAGCATTTTATTTTTTTCACCTTAGAAAGGTCACTATATACAGTTGGTATTCGAAAACAGAAAAATAACTCTCTTAGACAAAACCTATTGAAAATATTATTTCGATTTATTCATTGTGCACATGAGGGAACTTGTAGGCTGGGAACTATGTAAGCATATAAGTAAGAGATATTGATTGATCGATTGCAGTTCTATTTATTCCATTGTATTTTCTAGTACTTATTGCGTATTTACAAGTCTAATATTATTTCGGTGAAATATATATTCCCAACTGTGTTACAGATGTATGCTGGTAACTGAATACAAAATGAATGCTGTTTTAGATGACAATTCCAAAGCAGTAAAACCTAAAATAGCACCTAACAGCGTGTAATCGATTTTGTAAATACTGCCTAAACATATAAGTGGATGAAGTTATTCTCGACACTTGAACCTTGTTTTCTTGCTCACATTTTTTAAAAAATATTCTGAATTTATGTGCATTGTAAACCAGACAAATCCACAGTATAGTCTCCATTTTTAAGCTTATAGTTAATAGAGCAGAAGCATTTATTTTGTCTGACATCTCAGATACACTGAATTCTCATCACCACCAACGTATTTATTCTTTCTCCCGCATATTATTGTCCATTGTGGTTCTTCTGAGATTTTCTTCGACATGTATGTGCTTATGAAGTGTGGAATCTTGAACTCTTGTAGTTCCCCTGAAATGTGTACATTATGACTCAGGCAGTGATCACAAGTTTAATTGGTGAATGGTGACTAGCAGTGGAATCCAGGATAACGCGCATTTCGCCCCATTCGGGACTCGTCAGCTGGATGTACCTGCATTTCCCAGTGAATGATGATGTTGCTACCGAGGCTCGAATCTAGTGTCCATAGTTTCAAACGCCAAACCGTTATCCACTAGACCACTTGGGCTACGACAGCCACCTCTTGTACAACGGGTCATGTTAATTAAATTGAATTTTAGATTTGCCTGTCGATTGATTGGACCGAAGTGCTCGGTCTCAGCTGACGAGTCCCAAACAGGACGAAGTGCACATCCTAGATTCCACTGCTAGTCACCATCCACCAACTGTATACTAATTAAATGCCCAGATATCGTCAAAGCATCTGCACAAGAAGCCGACATGCCAACCTGAGACCGAGCACTTCAGTCCAATCAGTCGACGGGAAAATCTAAAATTCAATTAAGTGATCATAGGCTAATAGAATTTATGCACACTAAAAGTTTCCCCCAATAAAATTAACAAATTTTTACCACAGAAATGTTTAGGTGGAAAAGTAAGACTAAACTTTAATATTTTAAAGTCAATTACTTAAAAATAAATTTATTAGTTAGTATAATTCATTTCCTGACACTTGCATAACCATGGTTGTTATGCGTACAAGGAGATTACATTTTCATGAAATTACATGCTTTCTTTTTCTCTTTTTATGTAGTAAGTTTTTCAAGTTTGGACAGAGTTAGTCGAGCACTTTCAATAAGATTCTATTAAAAACAGAAACAGAAAAAACAAGGATAAAGGAACTAATAAATAAACCGGTAAATTAGTGCACATTAGTATGCAACAAATTCACTACTAAACTCACAAACACTGGCAAACACAGCTAAATACAAAGGAAACAAAAACGTTTTATTTGTGTGATATTCTGTGACTTGTTCGACTATTTCACTTTTAATAAATAGGGAATGGACAATTTTTAAATAGTGTTTTGGAGTTTTATGCTATACCGTGTTTAAAAAAAATATTGTTATTTTCTACTGAACATAACTTGTTACAAGGAAGTAACAGGTGTGCAACACCATCCGATTTCTAACAGCTGTTCGATGGATATTTGTTGATGGTTAGCACTACCTCTTGAGGATTTAATTTCTGATAGATGACACTCCGGATTAGGTATACATTCTCATTCTGTCCACAATGGAGTCTGTGTTAGCGATGTAATTTTGTGAAAGGTATTTTGGTCATCTTTCATACAGTTTGTGATATTTTCAAATGACTCCAAGCAGAGATCTCCTATTTTTAGTGCTTTAGAATTGACTTCTTACGCATTAATCTGGTAGTGTACTCTTCACATTATGCTTCATATAATTCATTTATAACCTCGTTAAGATGAAATATTCGTCTCTGATTAGACCAGGAGAACTATTGTGACGACAGACTCAACGTGATCATATGTGGTCCTTCCCACTTTGTGAACTGTTTGCCTGAGCGTGTCACACATTCGTCGGTATTTCACCTCATACTTTCATATGCTGATTTCTCCCGACCTCCCAGCAGCGTCCCAAGTAGCAGCCTCATCGCTGACAGATCTTGAACGCCATTGAACTGCACAGAAGCCTCGAAGTCCTGTCTGAAGATCCATATGTCTCCATCAAAAACTGCAGGGCATAGGCTTTCCATTTGTCGGTAGGCAGCGACACCAAATGTAACAACAGAAGATAAGGGCCAGGAAACAGATAGTTTATCAAGGAAATCAACACGTATTTACATATTTTCATGTACATTATTATAGATTATTGTAAGCAAACAAACACTGACTTCTGATTGGTGGTTTCTTGCTGGACGTTAATCTTTCGTCTCTTTGTGGCCGTTTATTGAAGCTCAGATTATCTATCTGCAAATTGTATCCGCCTACGAAAAGTCTGCTGTGGTTTCTTTGTTGAATCAGTCTTTGTTATTGTTTTTCCCACGACCAATATTGAGGACACAGACATTTACGTGAATTACTGTCTACCAGTTTGGCTAGCAGCCAGCTCTCACAACACTATGAGCCAGTTTCAATAGAACTATATATTTCACAAATGTTCCATATGAAAAATCAAAACTGCAGCCCTAGTTCTTTAGATTTTCATGGAAGCCTACTGTCTTGATTGCCTATAAAGATTATTTTATGACTAGTAAGCAGGACAGAAAATACCACGCAGTTGTCACTTATTTTACATGAATAAACTACAAATTCTTAGAAATGTTGATCATTGAATTTTGACTCTTTTCCTAAAAATAGCATATTTGCTGCCAGAATGGTAGAAACACCAAAATTAAAATAACCTGTTGAATATTTAAATCGAATACACAAAAGATTGGGGTACTGTGAAAGTTTAATTCGTATGTTAGGCATTTGAGGTTGTGTTTTTGTCACCTGCGTTTCATAAACTAGCATCTTAGTGCTTAGTGACCTAAAAGTCCATTCACTGATTCACTGAAAATCGCTAAACAATGAATGAATAATCAGTCTGTCAGAAAGACAGTGGTGACAACTGTCCCATAGTATCACATAATAGTGACTAATGAAGACGAAATCTTTAAAAAAAACTGTCTAGCATCAGTTGTTTGGAATAACTATGACCTTTGAAAAACACCAACACAAAACAATAAAATGAATACAGTAAGCAGTATTTTATTCGGCAACTGTATTAACAATAACAACAACTTCATTTCTTTTTAAACCAAAAAGTACTTTTAATTTTGCAAACTAATTAAAATTGAATAAAAAATATTTTAAACAGATTCAAACAATACTGCTACCTGTTGATGAACAAAACGTTTTGAAATGTCATTCAGTAGTAATTTTACTACTCTATGACGCATTGCACCAGCGACAATTATATCATCTTATATATGAGAAAAATATAATAACTAGTATTGATTATCCAATCAATAAAAAGTTATATTTATGAATATTATACATGCATGTTAGTGCTGATCATACAGTCAGTCAAGAATAGACAATAGTTACCAGACAGTTTTAGTTGAATATTTTATAGAAGAGGAAAGTATAGACAACCACAACTCAAACTATAGAAACGACGGGTCATATGCGATGTTAGCAGAACAAGCTAATAAAACAAATACACAGAAGTTTCTATAGTTTGTGCCTTTGTGATGATAGTTTCCAGAATACAGAAAGATTGAGCGAAGAAATACTTAATTTTCAATTAGATCCTCATCTTTGGCTCTACTCTAATATATATAGCATTTTTATTACAATACACAACAGTTTACCAATTAAGTGGCGATATAGATGTAATAGAGAAGATTTGTAGCTCAGGTGGATGATTTTCATGTGGTTTTGTTCTCTGAGCTGGATGGTTAATTTGCGAAGCTTTCATCACCCTACTGGGTGACATCTTCAGCGCATACTTCAATTTGAAGCGAGCTTTTAGATTTCTCCACGAGTTTATTAATCATCTCTCCTGGTGACCTTGGACGTGATTGGTTGTTTATGTGTGTTTTCACATCTTCTAGGTTACTTGTATTGAAACTGACTGTTTCTTTGATTTGAACTTTGACCCTTTATGTGTGAAGTTTCTTTCTTATTGGTTGATAAATTTTGTCTAGCATTCTTGTTGTTTCCTCTGTCTAATATTTGAACGTTGTCCCAGTCGAATTGATGTCCGTGGTTGTCTGTGTGTAGTGATATGAGGGAGTGGATATCATGTCTTTTGACGGCTAACTTATGTTCACGGATACGAAGACGAAGGGGACGTCCACTTTGGCCAATGTAGTGTTTGTCGCAGTTGTTACAATTTATTTTGTAGATGATGTTGGTTTTATCTTCTTTCGCTGTTGAGTCTTTTGGTTGACATAGAATTGAGTGAAGCGACTTTGTTGGTTTGTATACGATGTCAATTCCTAAAGGTTTGAAGAGAATTGACGTCGTATACAAACCAACAAAGTCGCTTCACTCAATTCTATGTCAACCAAAAGACTCAACAGCGAAAGAAGATAAAACCAACATCATCTACAAAATAAATTGTAACAACTGCGAAAAACACTACATTGGCCAAAGTGGACGTCCCCTTCGTCTTCGTATCCGTGAACATAAGTTAGCCGTCAAAAGACATGATATCCACTCCCTCATATCACTACACACAGACAACCACGGACATCAATTCGACTGGGACAACGTTCAAATATTAGACAGAGGAAACAACAAGAATGCTAGAGAATTTTTAGAATCCAGCCTGGCATTCCAGTGAATCATCAATCAATAGACACATCGAGATAGACAAAATTTATCAACCAATAAGAAAGAAACTTCACACACAAAGGGTCAAAGTTCAAATCAAAGAAACAGTCAGTTTCAATACAAGTAACCTAGAAGATGTGAAAACACACATAAACAACCAATCACGTCCAAGGTCACCAGGAGAGATGATTAATAAACTCGTGGAGAAATCTAAAAGCTCGCTTCAAATTGTAGTATGCGCTGAAGATGTCACCCAGTAGGGTGATGAAAGCTTCGCAAATTAACCATCCAGCTCAGAGAACAAAAACCACATCAAAAGTGGCGATATGTTTGTTGACAATAATTGGTCAGTGTCAAAATGTCAATTTATTTTTGATTGCTTTGATTACAGCTTGACACAGGTATGGAATTTTCAGCATGTGATATCGGTACTCCAAATTTTGCAGGCCGACCATAGATATCAGGTGTGCAGTGGCAGGGGATCGAACCCCGGACCATGTGCATGATCGGCGAGAGTCCTAACCACTCTGCCACCGACGCACTTGGTGATTAACGAAGACAGTGATTGTTAAAAAAATTAGACCATTGAATTCAAAGTGGGGAAAAAGTGTAATTCAGCTCTCCCTATTCGTACTCACTTCCAGTATATACACACTTTTGGCTATTTCATAGGCCCAACTGAATTTCGTAAATTCTCAATGATACAGTGACAACCACTACTTCTTCACGAAGAGCTCGTGTGTCAAAAGTAACATGAAGGCTGTTATAATTTCTAGGAGGTGTATTCCATAAACCGAGGGAAACCTTTGAAATCTCTACTAAGCAGCAATGCAAACTGAACAACTATGGGGAGAAGATCGAATTTAACTAAATAAATACACTACATACATTATATTAGTTACTACCATGATGTAGTTGGGGTCCATGTTGCACAAGTCATCCTCGAACACGAGAAAAAAGTTAAGTAACCCGTCCGTTTAATAGAATTTAGCATTCTAGGTAAAGGTTACTTAAAAGAATGAAAAAGATTTCCTGAAGATATGATATTCAAATGGTTATTCAGTAACTTCAGGACTGAAAACCGAATCAGTTCAGATCCGAACTGCCAATACCGAATCATCAGGAATTCATCATTAGAGAAATCTAAACACATAGTGGTTAAAGGTCAAAACTGCCCCGGTACTACAGACACAAAAATGACAACTACACAGTGTAAAATAAAAATTCAATGCCATAATCAAAGGTTAAAAATAGTTTGATACATAAAAGCAAGCCAATAGTCTCAGGAGAGTTTCATATTAAATACTTAGGAAAAATTGTATTGAATGATTCTCTGCGAAAGTAGCAATAAAGAAAACCCCAGGGTTTGTGAACGAAAACCAAAGTATGAAGAGTGACAAATTTGTCACAAAATCTATAGTCTGGGCTGGATGCATTCACCATAGTGACACGGATGTTACTGATCTATAATATACATGGATAAACGAAACTGCTTTTTCTCTACTCAGAGTCGTT